AAATTTTCACCAGCTGAAATTTGGGAATAAATCTCTAATGCATAAAATCATTTCAAAGATTAAATAATAGAACACATCAAGGATGAACTCAGTACCAAATGGTCAATACTGGCAGCTTACTGTTATTAGCTGATGGGTGTAATATAGCTACTCACAAATATGATCCTATTTTATATACATATGTTTCTTTAAAGTTTTCTAGAGGTCTGTAAAAAGCTTTCATTAATAAAAAAAACCAATTAGAAAAGCACTGCTCTGTTTTAGAGAGAAGTCAGTCGGGCAGATATCTGTGATTTCTTCCGAACTGTTGGGTTTTGAGGCACCTTGGAGCCAGTGTTGAGCCTGACAGCATCCTCATTCGGATACTAGAGCCCCAAAGAATTCCATGTAGTTAGTGAGGCAAGTTATTTGTTTCCTGAAACCACACGGGTTCCTCTAAACTGAGTTCCTGCTCTTCCTCTGTTTGATTTCTTAAAATAGTTTCTAAAGATTTTAACCACAACGGAATCAAAACTAACCAGCCTGTAATTTCCTGGTATGTCCCTCTGGCCTTTCTTTTAAAACAAAACACACACACACACAAAATGGCATTGCGTTGGCTGATTTCCAGTATTGCGGGATTGCGACTGGAGAAAGCTGCAAAATGTCTTTGCAAACTGCTCTCGTTTCTCTTCGATCTTCTTTTAGAGGCGGCTACGGGTTGTTTGCGGCTGCATACTGCTGGTATTTGTCAAAATTAGGCAGTACTGGTTTTGAATCATTTTAAGAAAAAATTAACACTCCTATTTGTTTGTAGCTCTTTATGTCTTTTTTTCTTTGCAATTCTAGCACACAAGAAAATGATGTAATGTGCGGGAAGTCCATAAGCCATAAAGAGAGAGAGCTCTTCTCCACAAAAGAATGACACTATCTTAAAAAGCCTAAGAAAGTACGGACTATTTATTTCAATTCATAAATGAAAAGCATAGTTAGAATATGTTAGGGTTTGCGTGTGTGGAAAAATAAAACGTGCTGAACTCAGAGGCAAATAAGACTAGATTTAATCTAATTATTTAAATGGATAATGACTTTTTGTTTTCGTCATTTTCATTTTTTAATGATTACATTCTTGGAGTTGAAATTTTCATAGAACTGAAATATTCCGACTCATCATTGTTTTGGTTTTGAATAGATGTTTATGGGCAGTCTGTAACATAAAATTTGGAGTTAATCAAAAGCAAAATGAGTAAAAATAAAATGTCAGATATTAATTAAATTGATACATAGTCCAGAACAGAAACTGATCAATTTTTTTTAAAAGTAAGGAACATTATAAGACTACATGTGGCTAACACGTTGTTTCGATAAATATTTGGTTGAAGAAATGTTTGTTGAATTAATGACAGGCTGATAACATGGAACTAAAAATGCAAAATAAATGTTGAGATAATTATTTGATAAATATTTATTTCTAATCTGAACACTTTCATGCACATTATAAAATACGATAAAAATTTAAGTTGGGATTACTGTGCAGAAGGTTATATTCTGACGTGTTAAAATATATTTATAGAAATAGAGTATCTTCCTTCCTATACTATACTTGGAAGTATTTAAGACAGTGTTTCCAAATTAAAAAATATTTTAAAATAGATGCTACTTATTTGCAACTAGAGGTCAGAATTTGTGCTCCAGAAATTCACATGCTGAAAGGTTTTAAAAGTATTCGTAAAAACATCTTTATAATATTAAAAACATTAAATTTTAATAATTATTTGTATCATACTAATTAGGTAGCAAGCTTTCTTGCAAAGCAGAAAGCAAAAGCTACGTGGTGTAGGTTACTGAACTCTGGAGTCTGAGACATCTTTACTGTGTTTGGTAGCTGATATTATTTACCATATTATTTATTTTTAAGAAAAGTTTTGATTAAAACGGGATTAAACATATTGTGATACATTGTATTTATACAAACGTACCATACAAATATAAATTATACTATTATTTTGGCTCTTCTTTTTTCTCTAATATTTTCTGTAATTTCTGTGATGGGTATTTTAAGCATTTCATTTGTAAAAATTGAATTCCACAAGCTAGACACAGAAGTTACAGAACATCCCTTGGGCTGTGCAGATGGAAGTGAAGTACAGTAATTAGCATCTGAAAGAAACATTTCTATGAATTTCATGTTGTGGTGAAAAAGCTGAAGATTTAGTCACTCCCTTTATAGGAATTGCAGAATTAAAAAAAAAAATTAACACTATTATTTGTTTGTAGCTCTTTATGTCTTTTTTCTTTGCAATTCTAGCACACAAGAAAAGATGTAACGTGCGGGAAGCCCATTAGCCACAAAGAGAGAGAGAGCTGAATAATGTTGTATTTATCAACATTAGGTTTAGGAAAAAGGAGGATTTGGGTAATGTCCTCTTTTCCTTTTCTTTATTCATTTTCTAATCGCAGGATGGTAGCAGGCTTACATACTTTCTATTGATTTTGCTTTCTGCCAAGCTCCTGGCTGACAAGCCTAGCTCAATTGTTCCAGCTGACCTCTCAGGCAGTGCTGTTGAAGTGAGCATAGATTACATCATCCCACATACAACTCCTTTCATCTTGCTTTTACCAAGAATACTTTCTGGAAAGTGTTCCATTCTAATCAGTTTTCATCAATTTATTTGGCACCTACTCATAGGGCTTTTGACTCAGGGATTTGAGGCTAGTGTCTTAGGAACCCCCCCAAAACAGACATTCAATTAGATCATGCAGTTATTGGCTATTAATTTCTCAGAGATATCTCTGTCTGTGTCAAATAGTTTTTTTCTTTCCTATCTATAGTTCAAGCTCCAATTCCTTAGGACTTTTTAAAAAAATTTCAACAAGTAAATTAAATTATTTCCATATTCTCAGACTCTTACAGCAATGTTATTGTAACTCACAATTCAAAGACTTACTGAGCAAAATAATAACTCAAGAATATTTTTTATATCATTGCATACTTTAAAAATTATTGTAAACTACCAAGTTAATGTATTCTTTATTTAAAGTTTGTTAACTGAAATCTGAAAAAATATTCCTATAATCAGTAATAACTGCCTTTTAATAATAGATGAAAAACAAGAAAATTGACACTCTTTAGCATGCTATTATAGGTGCTATGGAAAAGTGCCGAACACAAAAGATGCAGAAATTTTCACAAGACTCACAGTCTACTTCTCATAATTTAAATTTCCATGTGACACTGGAATTTATTTTTTTTCCCATAATTTTATTGATAAACAAATAGCAGTGAGACAGTTTCAAATCAAATTGGTAGGACAGTTTCAATAATTAACACATTGCACACCTTCTTCCTAGTGGTTAACTGCTGTACAAGATGCGGACATGATATCCTACTTCCAAACACCATTAGTACAAATCCCTCTATTCATTAAGAGAATGTAACTATATATCTATCCTAACCACTTTGAATACACAGACACAAAATGGACATTCATCTGTATCCCCTTTTTTTGCTAAGTTCCATTATTTGAATATTATAGGTGTGTAAACTCAGCAAAATATTCTAAAAGAGTCCAGTAGACCATAATAGTATTGGGTCTTCCACTTGACTGGCAATGTTAGAAATTGTTGACCTGAGTCCCCTACAGCTCAACATAACAGCATGACTTTACTTCTTATATTTCGTTTTTATACTTTTCTACTAGATGGTTAAGACCAAGGTAAGCAGGACCGATGCAATAAGAGTTGTAGCTTTTGGGTCTGATAAGGTCAGTGAAATCCCCTCAGGATATGACACTGGAATTTAAACAGTCAAGAAGAGAAGTTACTATACTGTTTTCAAATTTTCCAATTTTTCTCCTGCCATCTCTTAATTTTCATGAATATTTCTTAAAGTACAGTCATTCCCCTTTACTCAATGGAAAAAAAGTTTTAACAGATGAAAACTTTATGATCCAGTATTTTCATATGAGTAGAGATGGACTGAGTACAGTCTGTACCACCCTCATGAGATGCTAGAGAGTCTCTTTGAAAACCACACAGCTCTATTGTCTTAGCTTTGTCTATTATTATTATTATTATCATTCATATAATTATTCTGTCAAGAACATAGTTCAAATAGCAAACTAGATTTGGGGATCTTGAATTAGATATTATTATTAGATATTATTAGATTAGTACTATTATTATTAGATTATTATTATTAGATATTATTGATATACAATTACTTTTCCTTTCTTAGCTAAATGATTTTTGCCTCTTTTAAAATGATAATAATTTATGTGTAAATCCATACATTTAATGTGCACATGTATACACACCCATACATGCACATTACACATGCACACACAGAAGCATTTAGTTTTCCAAAATTATTTCAGCATGATTTAGAAAATAAGAAAAATATTTCTCATTTTGAGCATTGCTCATAACAAATAGAGTTGAACCTGGCATCGCTTTGCTAAAAGTATTTTTAAAACCTTATTCACATGAAAATGTTAATGCTTTGAAAATGCCCTGATTGATTTCCATAGGCAAATTAAATGAGAACTCCACATGTGAAGTAATGATCAGAGGTATTATATGAAAATAGGAGTGATGGATTGCTGGAGAAACACTTTATTACGAAGGTGCCGATGTGCTTCTCTTATAGAATATCCAATAAAACAATTTAAGTAGTTAGATTCTGACTTGAGGAGATTTTTCTCTCTTTTTGTATTTACTTCTCCTTTTCTTTACTGGGTCACTTCCTTGGTAAAAATCTAAACATACTGACATAAAAACAATCTAGAGTCCTGTCTTAAGTATTATCATTTTCTTATATAAAGAGCCTTTAAAAAAAATGGACTTGTCATAATTCCCCCAGCAGCTCTTTGGAGAGACTCTTCTTTAAGAATCTGAGGTGACAGGTGTATTTGTCAGGCAGTGCTTCATGGTGGCTGAGGGGGACAAGAGGTGCTCTCCGGGAAGCTGACTGCTTTTCTTTGCCACTTGCCCAACTTAGACAACCCACATGCCATGAGTACCTTCTTTTCATTTTCTCGCCGTTGCTGGTCCTTTAATTTAATCTGGAGAAGTTGAAATTTCAGGAGTTTCCCTATCAATGGTAAGGTTAGTTTCTCTCCGCTATCCATAATTGTTTTTGCTGCAATTAACACCTACGAAGAAATACAAGTATTAGAGAAAGTGACATTTCATAACCTTTGGCACAGTCTGTCAGTGATGAAAAATAAATGAAAGAATATTTTACTATGGGTTTTGTAATGTTTGTCTTATTGTAAAGGTGCTTATTGCTGACCATGGAATAAAAGGGGAGGGATGGGAAAATGTCCCAGTGTCACCAGATAGGGTGTGATGGTCTGAAGATTCACTGATTTTTCCAATAAGGCAGAGAGCGCTTCTCAACAAGGGTGTCGGATTCCCAGAACATAGGAAATGAAATAGGCAGGTTTCCATTTTGGGATGAGCGATAGGTCACTTTCATGCTACAAAAAGTATGTAATTTGACATAGCTAGTAGCCTAAAGTGTCCAATTCTGCCTTCGGAGGACATTCTAAATCGAAAAGGGCTTTATAATAGTGGAGATGACTATGTTCGCAGGCTTTTATTTCTTGGGGAAATATTTCTATATTTTATCTTAAAGATAAAAGTAGTGATCCAGAGGCCCCATACGACTGTTGCCCCCCTTACAACTTCATGTTGATCTTTTTGGTATGCAGCCTAATTGGGGTGAAATAAGGTTACTGAGTTTTCTTTGGGTGACGACAGCCACTAGGAACATACAGCTGTATTGTCCAGATGTGTGGCACTGACAGCCTGTTTTATGACTGTGTTTTTTACAGCTTGTTTCCCCTGAATTTCACACAACTCTCTAACATCTGGGCCCTTTTCCTTGGAGTCCTATAAGCAGTTAAATAAATATAAAAAAAAAAAAAAAAAAAAAAAGAAAAATCATGTAAAATATACCATAAAAGTTGTTATGTGTTTCTCTTTATTCATGTTGTCTACTTAATAAAGTTCCCATCCGCCTGTAGGACTATCACAGAAGTAATCTTACTAAAGTATTTTTAAGTTTTGTTTGTAAGCTAGCATCATATTTATTTATAACCTCAAGATGAATTAGGTGTTACTAAAATGTTCTGACATGTTGCTTCTCCCCCACCCCCTGGAGCAGTCACTTCGCCCTGTGCGTATGGTGTCAATTTCAGAGCCTCAGTCTGACAGTGACCGCGTGGCCCTGCATCCCTCGAGCTGCGTCTTGTCTGAGGTTCATTCCAGTTCTTGGTCAGGCCTTCACGGTCAGCCCGATTCCTTTGACTTTCCCTTTGCCAAAGGAAATAGCTGCAACAGAGGGAGGTGCGTACTTGGCTTCTAACTGTGATGGCCATGTGGGTTATCGTGCGCCAAAATGTAACCAGACCTCTCAGAGACCACGGGTTTCTTGCATTGCAAGGCGGAATGGGAAAGGCAGGGAAAGATTCCATTAAAGCTGTCTTTTCTGCAAACAAAAGGAGTAAACCACATGCAGAAAGCGGCATGTGTGTTGGATGGAGCACTCTCCAGGAGACAGCATTCAGCTTTCGTGGCTGCTCCGCTCCTGCTAACACAATTGAGGAAAACGGACATGATGGCTGTCATTTCTGGGAGCAAAGAAACTCACAGTACACCTGCAGAGCTTCACCATTTAATGATGAGCAGATCCAAGGTGGAAGGGGATCCTATAGGAACCACAGGTCAGACCCTTGCTGTAAAATGAACTCTGTTAGTCTGGGTCCAACCCCAAGAGAAGACATCAAGATTTGGCTTGAGAGGGCATTTTTCAATACCAGTGAAACAGTGTGCTGACAGTCAGGCTGCTGCGTGACATCTGGTCCCAAATATATTCAAATTGGGGTTTTTAAAGCTCAGAGCAATCTAGCATGGAGTATTTCCTTACTCCATAAAGATGATGATAGCGTTGAGGGGAAGCTAACGCCGGAATGGGCTACCCAACTGGCCGTGGAGTCTCTTTTCCTGGTGACCTGTGAAAGAAGGGTGCTCACCTGTGCTCACGGACTTGGGAAAGCCTGCCTGGCATCCCAGCAATAGATGGGATGTCTCTGGAGGTGTTTGCTAGCTTCTCCTCTCTCGAAGTCTACGAATCCTGCCTCTGTGTTAAAATGGACTCAAAGCACAACAAAACATCCCCTGAGGAAAGTATTTTGCAAGCCATAAAAGGTATTTCTGGTCTATCTAAAACTGCCAGCAGAGTTCCAGTTTTCAAACCCAAATCTGACACGGTGCCAGAGTAACAGTGGTGTCCTGCCCTGATCTGGGAGATGGGTGATGGGCGGTGTTGCTGGTACCGTGGACACTGGCATCCTCTCAGCCTGTAGACAGAGACTGAGGCAGTGCAGAGGAAGGCAGCATTGGCGGGACCCTGTGGGAGCCTGAGAAGTGGCCCACGGGGTGGGGGCGGGGGGACACAGGACAGGCAGGGCTGGAAGAGGCACAACCTGCACAAGGTACCATCAGCAACAGCAAAGGCTGGGTACACATCTGCTCTCTGTGGTTGATCTGAGTAGATGCAAGAGGCAAACTTTCGTACAATATCATGAGTCCTCAGGATAACTGATGAAAATTAGAGTCTGTGCTGAAATCAAAATGTGAGACTGAAAATTGTCCTGGTATGTGTGTCATTCCAGGAGACCAGAAAGAGAAAATTCCTTACAGATTAATTTCCATTAAAAGTGCTTTCTTGGATTTCTTTTCTTTTCTTTTCTTTTCTTTTCTTTTCTTTTCTTTTCTTTTCTTTTCTTTTCTTTTCTTTTCTTTCTTTCTTTCTTTCTTTCTTTCTTTCTTTCTTTCTTGGTGGAACCGGGGATTAATCTCAGGCCCCCAGCCCAAAAGTGCTTTCATCTGATGCCCCATAAGTCCCAATTCTACCCAGTCAGCCTGAAGTTTGGGGCCAGAAGAAAAATCCTCAGCAGATCTATGTGTGAAGGCGTCAGCAGGGAAACTAGAGAGTGAAGAGGACACAAGCTTGAGAGAAAATGAACTTTTTCTCAGATTATTTCAGACAGGCTGCTCCTATCCTGAGAATCTTTGGCTCTAGAGTGCTGTAAAGGCTCAGCATCCATGATCCGCATGCATGCATCTGTGTGTGTGTGTATGCACGTGTGCGTGTTCCTGGACTAGATGACAAGGACTGTAGGTTTTGCGAAGAGTGTGCACCGCATGGCAGCAGCAAGGAAGTAGTGGGAAGGGAGTGAGTAGAGAGAGATCTAAGGCAGAGAAACAGTCCTAATGGGTGAAAGCCTGATTGCTCATCAGGCCCAAACACTGAGCAAGTGTGCTCAGCACGAGGCAGAAATTGGCACTCATGCAAAAGAAAGGAACTTATTTGAAATGGTGAAAACTGTTGCCAAGCAAGGGCTGAGAATGCCTGAACCTCCACATGGCAAGTTTCCAGGTGGAAGGGTCTGGGGAGGCTCAGGGTCCAGCAACTGAAAGTGCTTTTACTGGGAAAGAAGGGCATATGAGAAAAAGACGCTTCAAAGAATTAGCTGATGCAGAAAGCCATGGTTGTTGTATGAAGATAATTGTTTTGCGGTTGTATTTGCTCTTCTCATCTTAGGAAATTTGTGATTCTGAGAACATTAAGGAAAAAGAACACCATTTCCCTCTACCACTGACCTGGTTCAAAGACATCGTATTTACCACCATCAGAAACAGGTGGATCAAATTCTTTCCTTGCTTGCCCAGACCCTTCCTCTCCTGCCTAGCCATTCCTCCGAGCTACATTACCTGTCCACTTTGGTAAGCACAAACTTCTATCTGCCTAGTACAGAGACTTTCCTCTCATATTCCCATGGAAATGAGGTGGATGATGGATGGATGGATGGTGGATGGATAGAGAGATGGATGGTGGATGGATGGATGGTGGATGGATGGACCAATGGTAGATGGATGGACAGATGGTGGATGGATAGATGGACAATGGATGGATGAATGGTGGATGCATGGATGGATGGCAGATAGATGGAGGATGGATGGATGGATGGTAGATGGATGGTATGGATGGGTGAATGGATGGTGGATAGATGGATGGAAGGATGATGGATGGAACGAACAGATGGTGGATGGATGAATGGAAAACCATGAGGTTTTCTGTTTGATTTCTTTGGCACGACTATTAACATACAGAGCAGTATGAATCATTAACTTAGTATTAATCATGAGTGAGTTCTGTGGATATGCAAACACTATGGATCTGCATTTCTTTTGCTTGGAATAGGCTTGGGAGTGGTGTATCAAGGAGAGGGAAAGGTGAAGCCACGAGAGACAGAGAGGGGAGGGGAAGTAGGAGAGAGACACTCTGGGGAACACTTTCTCTCAAGCGGCTCCAGGGAGCCATTTGTTCCCCTAAAGGATTCAATGGTTTCAGAGCCTTCCTGAGCAGTGAATTTATTGCAGTAATTGCAATAATCTGCAAAGTATGACTTAACTCACTTTTGGGTTAGTGATTTAGGATTGGTTTGGATAAAGACCTCAGACACAGGAGCAGATCCATATTCTAAATCTTAATCCAGTCCATAAAGCAGACTTTTGATTTGGAGAGAAGATCTAGATTTCTTTTTTAATGTCAGACTTTTTGGGTATCTTATTTCATTAGCGTGTGATTAAAGTGACAAAGGAAGAATGTTATTTTCCTGTATCATAGCAAAAATCTAATGCCGCAGGGTATATTGTGAAAAAAAATGCTTCTCCAACTCCTTTCACTATCTCTTCCCCAGAGATAGTCACTGCTAATAAGGACTTGGGTATCTTTTCATAATCCCCTATATATGTATAAGTACATATGCACATCCTTTTATGCTTTATAAAAATGAGCTCATGTCATTCATTTTAAGTGATTTGTATTTTCCCATAAAAATATAATCAGGACAGCTTTCTGTGCTGATATGAATTATTTAATATGCTTTTTTTTTTTTTTTAGTAAGCATTAGAATCTCATATCATTGCTTGGTTGTTTATTTAACTAGTTCCCCATCAACAGACATTTAGATTTAAGCCATTTCCTTTTTTCTCTGTTAGGTGCATGGATGTTTTGGTTAGTAACACTGCTGATCTCAACAGTACTGTACAAACAGCTTTGCTTTCTGCCACCTTTAGCAAC